AGGGCCGTAGACACAGCCGGGAGTGCACATCACTGGGCGGGGGAGACAGATTTGTCCATTTTAGCTCGGACGGTCGGGGAGGCCTCCCCGGGCAGGAGGTGGCTTCTGAGCTGATGTGAGTGACAGGAGGAGGAGACTTGGAAAGTTGGACTTGAAGGAGAGCCCAATCCAAGGTGAGGGCGTACCATTTAGCAAGGAAGGGATTGTGGCAGGAATGGAGTGAACCAGCCCAAGGATGTTCTCAGCCCTCTTTTTATCCCATTTTTGTGTGATTGAGACCGCCAACCCTCCCATTCAGTGAAACTTCAGCACCACAAATAGCTGTTTATATACTGTATTGTGCTTTACACACAAAAAAAAGAGTTAAGATTTTTGCCATCTAACTCATTTGCTCCCTCTTGGGGCCGTTCTGGCCCATTGAGAACACAAGACTAGAGCAGCATGTGCCAAGGCCACAAGGCTCACTTGATGAAACGAGAAGCCGTAGGAAAGGCTTGGGCTGGGCAGTGATGCGACCCCGGGGGCTTGACTGTAGGAGACCCCAGGGGGCAGGCAGACCATTCAGACCAGTCCAGAGGGGTGGACGGTAGCTGGGCTTGGTCCACCAAGGCTATTAATGACCGGGATACGGAAGAGGAGGGAGAGTAGATGGGCACCACATTGATGGTCATAAATAAAAGTGTCTGTTTAATGCTCAGGGCAACTCGGGGCAGGTGCCCCCTGAGACACACAGGGAGGTTACCTATGGGCCCCACTGAACTGTAGCCAGGAAACGGAAGGAGAAACTTGAGTCTGATTTTCAACCTAGATACCATTTAAGTTTCCTGTTTTTCAGTCATTTGGATATAGCTAGATGATCACACACACACAAATTTATAGTGGTCAAAACTCCAGAGTTATTTCAGCTCGCTTTCTCCCTCCCTCCCTCCCTCCCTCCCTCCTTCCCTCCCTCCCTCCCTCCCTCCCTCCTTCCTTCCTTTCTATATTTGGCTGTGTTGGGTCTTTGTTGCTGCGCGCAGGCTCTTCTGTATTTTGTGCCTTTGATTCCAGACTGATTTCTGGGGAGTCTGTTGAAACGCCTGCCTACTCTTTTTTGCTTTACTGCAGTAGGAGTGCTCATGCATTAGTAATGTGAACAGTTTCAGTTGAATTCCATTTTTTTCTGTTAGAATTCAGTGATTCTGAACCACCGTATTGAGGGATGCTGCTGTGAATTCCCTAAGGCGTAGGGGCTCTCATTGCACGTGCTCGCTGCATTTTGTTGAATCTGTGAACAGGCAGCTTTTCCAGGCTCACACTGGAGTTAAGTCAAAGTGAGATTTTTTAATATCACACAGTTTTTTGTCAAAGTTGAGTGTTCTCGTAAGCCTTCATGGTGACTGAAAGCGGGAAGTAGCATATATGGTCTAAAAAAGGGAGTCGAGGGGGCTCTGAGGCACCCACACCACTTGGGAGGTCCTGTCTGTCTTTGAGGAGGGGGCTCGGGGTCCCCGGCCGAGCAGTGGGACAGGGGGCAGCCTCTGAGCTTTGCTGAGGCGGGTGTGTTGCATGTTCAAATGATGTAGAGTCACAAAAAGTTAAGTGAGATTTATGACTGTATTTTATGGGGTTTTTATGCCTGGTTTGCACAGTCTTAGTAATTTCTCAAACTCTGGTAATCAGTAACCAGGACATTCTGTGCCTTTTAAATATATGACAAGATTTTGTTTTAAACTCTCCCTTCCGTTTTTAGACTTTTCAGTCCCTTTTTTTAGATGAAATGTTGGCATCTTGTGTTCAGAACAAAGCATTAAAATGTTTAACCACCTCAGTGTATTTTCATGTAAATACCATTTAGGGACACACTAACTCAGAAGCAGTTCCCAGCAAGGAGGGCTTGGTAGAAGGTGCCCAGGGCAAAAGAGCATCCTGGCCTCCCCACTGACATAGCGCAGCACCTGTTTTTTACCCTGTATTTAAGTACATCTGAATAGATGATCAGCTCACCACAGTTCACATTAAACTTGTTTGGTGTTTGAGTAGTTTCTCCCCAGTACAACATTGTGATGTTATTTACTGCATATGAACGCATAATGGATTCTGCCAGTAATGTTTTTCCTAGTTTGTTGATTTACATGGTATCTTCAAAGTAAGTAACAGTAGATGCTGTTTTTAAGTGGTTTTAAGTATATGTTGAAAAATAAACTTATTATCAAAAATCTGATAATTATCAAATTATCATTTGGTAGTTCATTCTAGTTCCTTTTCATTATATATGAACATGGTTAATTCGTGAAATAACTACTGTGGGATTCTTTGATGTGGCAATAATTTACTTGGAATATTGAACTTTTACAGAAAACCGTGGACGCTGAACATGTAAGTTCATAATGATCATGTCATCTTGAACTAAAAATGCAGTTTTTGTTGATATAGTTGAACTTGTTTTTAAAACTTAACCTCATTATGTGACCACAGAGGCAGGTTTTCTTTGACTCTTTTGGGCAGGGCACTTGAGAAATCTTAGGTGATCGCAAGATGTTAACGCTGCTGGGTTTTTTCCTTTTGAACAGTTTTACTTTCTGTTTGTTTGTTTGTTTAACTTGAAATGCCTTCGTAGGAATTTGGGGACAAAATTCAGTTTGAAAATTTTAAGTGGTATCTTTCACTTCCAAGGCCTTTTTTCTCTCATCACAGTTGCCTTGCAGATATGGCAAATAGATACAGGTCTGGGCCTTTGAAACTGAGTTAATGTTAACTTTTCTTAGAGGCACTAATTATGTTTCATAAAATTATCAATTTGTACTTTATTAGATTTTATATGAGTCTTTGCTGAACTTTATGTTGATAACTACAGTAAATGTTATTTATGACCTTTGAGGAGAAAGATGGCATGTAGTATCAGTAAATTATTCTCCTGAAAATTTTAGTTGCCCTCAATAAAGCTGAATTTTTTTTTTTTTTCCTGCACCGTGCAGCATGTGGGATCTTATTTCCCTGACCAGGGATTGAACCCGTGCCCCCATGCAGTGGAAGCACAGAGTCTTAACCATTGGACCAACAGTGAAATCCCAAAGCTGAAGACACTTTAAAAAAATAAATGTGCCTTGTGCCTAAAACAGAAAAAGTTTCATTCTTTGATTTGTTTCTTCAGTATTTTCCAGATTTCAGTGTTACGTAATATTTATCAGTGATAGATGATTCTTACCTCTTTACTTGAACATGACCTTATCTTACATACTTATTTCTTTTTTAAAAAAAATTAATTTATTTTTGGCTGCCTTGGGTCTTCATTGCTGTGCAGGCTGTCTCTAGTTGCGGCGAGCGGTGGCTACTCTTTGTTGTGGTGCGCGGGCTTCTCATTGCGGTGGCTTCTCTTGTTGCGGAGCACGGGCTCTAGGCTCGCGGGCTTCAGTAGTTGTGGCGCATGGGCTTAGTTGCTCTGCGGCATGTGGGATCTTCCTGGACCAGGGCTCGAACCTGTGTCCCCTGCATTGGCAGGCAGATTCTTAACCACTGCTCCACCAGGGAAGCCCTAAGTACTTATTGCTTAATTTTGAGTTGCTACGTGAACTTTAAAATAAATTCTTTTCTGATTCTTTAATTTAAAAATACTTAAAATTTTGCGTTTTAAAAATTTGGACTTGCCTGTTATGCAAAATTTGAGTTTTGTTTGGCAAAACAAACTGACAGCCTCAGTTTTCATAAACTTCGGAACTTGTGTGCTCTTTTCCAGTCCATCCATTCTGTGTCAGGGGCAACAGTTTGTCTGTTTTGATCATATGTTAGTTTTCGTTTCTGAACTTCATACTAATGGAATCTTACAATGTATACACTTTTGCCTCTGGCCTTTTTCACTGGACATAGTGTTTTTGAGATTCACATATGTTGTTGCATGTGTCTTATTACCACTGAGTGAATATGCCACACTCTGTTGAGTCTCCTGTTGATATATTCTTGGAGCAGTTTCCAGTTTGGGGTTATTAAGAATAAATCTGCTATGAACATTCTTCTACAAATCACACTTTTCATTTTTCATGGGGAAAATATCTAGGAGTGGAGTTGCTGAGTGTAGGTATGTGTATGTTTCTTAGAAACAGCCAAGCAGTTTTCCATAGTCAGCTCGGCCTCGTACCCCTCGAGCAGTGATGGATCCTTGCCAGCGTCAGTGTTGTCAGTCATGTCAGTCTTCGCCATTATTGTGTGTGGAGGCATATCACTGTGGTTTAATTTACATTTCTCTGTACCTTCTGATGTCGAATACCTTTTCATATACTTTTGGCCATTCAGAGACCTTTTCTTGTGAAGTACATTTGCCCTTCTCTTAGTCACCATGCTCTTAATTGCTGTTTATAACTAGGTTGTGTGGTTTCATTACCGGCTGATGTAAGACTCACCGATCTATGTATAACCTATGATATTTTTTAAAAAAGATTAGGTAGCTTTATTAGAATTCTGAAAAGCCAGATGATATTGGGAATCCAAAATTGAATGTTCATATTGTGGATTTTTGTATAATACCAGCTGAAAGACGGAAGTTATTTATTACATAATTGAACTTGTGATGTCTGGCAACTTGCGATAACTTGGGTGGAAAATCCATGGATCTGATAGAAAATCAAAGCCTTAGTTTGTTATTTTTATTGCAAATTTTCAACCCAAAAGAGTCATGTGAAAATTAAACATGTTGAGAAAATGTGTCTGCCTTCTAATTAATTAAGTCGATTGGAAGTATATATATATTTTTTAAATTTTTATTTATTTATTTATTTATGGCTTGGGTCTTTGTTGCTGTGCGCGGCTTTCTCAAGTTGGGGCGAGCGGGGGCTACTCTTCGTTGTGGTGCGCAGGCTTCTCATTGCGGTGGCTTCTCTTGTTGTGGAGCATGGGCTCTAGGCACGCGGGCTTCAGTAGCTGTGGCTCGCGGGCTCCAGAGCTCAGGCTCAGTAGTTGTGGCACACATGGGCTTAGTTGCTCCGTGGCATGTGGGATCTTCCTGGACCAGGGCTTGAACCCGTGTCTCCTGCATTGGCAGGCGGATTCTTAACCACTGCGCCACCAGGGAAGCCCCGATATTTTCTTATTTGTTCATCAGTTTAAGTTGTATTACATTGTATTACATCAAAAAGCAGGAAGAACTTGTAGTTGTATTAGCATGGGTTTTACAGGTTTACAGCTTTCATGGGTATTTTTTCAAGTTTCCTTGGGAAATGATGACTTGAATTTTTGGCCTTAATCTTTTTGATGTATTGTTCTCTTAGTCACAAACTATTTCTCTATATTCTTTGTTGCTTAAAGAGAATCTGTTGGGTAACAGAAAAGTAAAATTATTCCAGTGCAAAGTATACTGCATATTTTGGCTGTTGTGAATTGCCTGTAGTAATAGCATTTGGTTTATTATTTTAGCAGCCGCTATTGTGGTCTGTGTCTTTGCCGTCAAGGCAGAGGGTCACATTCAGTTGTGAACACTGTTGTGTGTTGAAAGATCTCGGATGGTGACTTTGATCATGTGGACGTCCCCTCCCCCATACCTACAAATTTCAGAACTTGTTTCTCAGAAGGAGGCCCTGCTGCAGAACAAGCTAATAAAGAATGTGGTTCCTTTATGGTTCGATATCACGGGAGTCTGCTCCAGAGGAGATCATTACCTTTTAGGCTGATTTCTGGCAAGGTATTTTTCAATTTGAGTCATTATTAAAATCCTGTTTCTTGGGTTTTTACAATTCATGTGTTGTAATTGGAAGAGCTTTTGTAGAGTATTCCTCAGCCTCCATACTTGTTGAATTATGTAGTATTTATCTTTCATAGTTATTTCTTAGAGTGTACTTCTGTTACTTATATATAATTTATATTACATGATACAGACTATGTAGTTTGTTAATGATTGACTTGTGTACTCAGTGGAAAATGAGATATTAGGTACATTGGTACGTAGTTGACCATTCAGAATGTGCCTTCTGTAGTTTTAATGTTTTATTCTTTCAGAAAAGTCATCAGAAAAGTGCCTGTGGTATTGGCCGTTCACGTTTCTGACTATATGAAAAAAGTCTTAGGGTGTGGTTGGAGGAGCCTTTTCTTTTTTCATTTTTACCAACTATTTCAGATGTGTTGGCATGAGAGGGTAAAATCAAACATTAACTCACACAGTTCTTACTCAGTTTTATCCTAAAATTAATTTAAAACAGACTACTTTTGCCACATAGATTTTTTACAGTTATGGCTTAAGATTTCAGTTGGAGTCCTTTTCTTAAGGAATTCCCTGGCAGTCCATTGGCTAGGACTTGGCACTTTTACTGTCGGGCCTGGGTTCGATCCCTGATCGGGGAATTAAGGTCCTGCAAGCTGTGTGGCACAGCCAAAAAAAAAAAAAGAAAACCTTTTCTTTAAATGCAGTTGTTGGTTGATTTTCATATTTGGGTGTTCTTGAGGATCAGAAAATAGGAAAGTGCATCAACTTTCTAGGCCTTCCCAGATTCTTAACTCCATATTACGAGCATCACTGAATGGGTGTGTATCAGCACATCCGTAACTGTCTTATTAGAGTTGGTTACAACCCAGTGCACAATAAACCTGGCCCCTTAGTTATAGTACCACCTCTTTAAACAGAACTCTAGTGATTGTTTTTTACTATTAAAGGATTAAGATAAGCTACCCTTTTAAAGACTCTTGGCAACTAGAAGTTCCTCAGTTCTGGAGATTACCTTTCTAGGTTTCAGCGTCGTTAGTGCTTTGTAAAACTTTCAGGTTCACATTTTTGAAAAGTTGAGAAGACCATTAAAATTTTTAGTAGACCTGGTGTCATTGTGTCTTTAAGAATTAAGTAATCCAGTTGTCCAGTTTGATTTATGGTTCCATTTATTCTTCTTGTCCATCCTTAACTTTACCAAAGGCAAAGTATATATAAGTGATACAGTTATAAAACCAGTGTAAGAATGCTAGTTGCAGATGGAAATAATAGGCGAGATAATTTTTGTTGATTTGTGGCATGCTTTGCTTGAAAAAATATTTAAGGTTTTTAAAGTGGGACCATGGATCCTATTGGATCATTGTGGCATATTAGTGGAATCTATGAGTCTGATTAATTCACATGCAGAATTTTGTGTACATAATTTTTGCACATACTTTTTGGCGGGGGTGGGTCATACTTCATCCAATTCTTAGGTGAATTTGAGACCCAAATGAGTTTGAAAACTGCCAATTTAGGATAATTATTTCCAGTATCTTTGGGTCATGTACCCTCACTTTAAAAATATTGAGCCCAAAGCTGGGTATTTATTTCTCAGTTGTAATTGTGTATTACTGCGCTGATATTTCAGGCATGTTACAAAACACATTTCGTAGGCATGAGGTAACAGTAAACATAAACCTGGACCTCAGCAGAAAACCTGGAGTGCCTGCTGTCTGGGTAGGTAAGCAGGTCGTCTTCTGATGGAGCACAGCAGACACGTTTGTGTGCCCTACCTTGGTACAAGCAGAGTAAAATTTTGTACATAGGATAGGAATCAGGATCCTATGTAGGATTTTGGATTATAAGGGTCTTGGGCTGTGGTGTGCTGAGGGACCAGCAGTCCAGACGAGAGGACCTATGGAAAATAAGAGGGAGACTTTCAGCGTCGTGGATTTAACAGCGTTTCCTCTGATGCTGAAACAAAATTTAGCTGAATTTTAAGTCAGTTGATGTTCTTAGAGGAAATGAAAGGAAAATCCTTACTGAATGGACATAATCAGATGAGGTAAAGACTAAACGGCATCTTAAGGGAACTTGATTCCTGTCACGGACTGTAGGAAGTGAGTTATCGCTTGTGTTTTTTAATTGATCGTTGAAACTTGTTTTTAAGAGGCTAAGTCTGATTTTATTGTAATCCTAGGAGAAAAGAAAACATGGATGAAGCTACCTGAAATTTGGTTTCCGGGGTGAACCGAAGTCGAGAGACAGGAAACGCTGGAGTCTCCCTTCAGGTCAGCACCTGTTGTAGCAGCTCCCTCTGTCCTTCTTCCCGGTCCCCGTGTCAGAGTCAGTGGGATAACACTGCATAGCTCATGGCACAGTTGAAACCTCTGCTTCTCTGCCTGTCTTCTTATGCGGCTCCCAGCGTCACTGCCCTTTTCTTTGAGGAAGATTGGAGGGTATTTTTAGCTCCAAATTGCCCTTGTCTTTCCCCACTGGTAGTAATGTGTATATTGATTTGTCTTCTGGCAAAACTGGACTGGGAATAGAAATGATGTGTTACACAGGTCTTATGTATGAAGGGAAAAAAAAATCCCTCGTTTTTCAGTGATTCCAAGCCTAAAATTTTAGTCTTGTGGTCCTTTGGAAAGTGTGTGATCTTAAAATGGTTTAATATCATAAATTCAGATTCAAGCTAGGGACACTAGCTCCATTTCTCCTTTGCTGCTTCCCACCTTTTTAGAGGGTAACAGTTTTTCCATTTTATTGTTTTTTCCATTATTTCTTAAAGACATAAAATTCTTTAGAGTCATTTACACTATGTGATCTGTATGATAGAACTGTGATGATGGTGTGTTGTCACCCTAATAGATGCAAAAAGTATTATTTTATTTCTTCCCTACCCCCCCACCCCCTTACATGGTGATTCTAATCTATTCTTGTTACAGCTGTGGTCCTGGGAGCCAGGAGCATCAGCCTTTCCTGAGAGCTGCTCGCAAGGTGAGAATCTCGGTACACACAGGCTCATCGAATCAGACCGCCCAGTTTAACATGGTTCCAGAGGATGTGCGTCCTCACTGAGTGAGAAGCACTGATAGGTACCATACCTTTGGGACATGTCATCTTTTCAAAGTATCTGACGACTCATGGGCACAAAAATGTGACAGCTGTTTCTCACGCTATTATCCAGCTCTAGAAAATTAACGTTGGGTCGTGGCTCTCAAAGCTGGTCCCTGGGCTTCCCTGGTGGCGCAGTGGTTGAGAGTCCGCCTGCCACCTGCTGCCTGCCGATGCAGGGGACACGGGTTCGTGCCCCGGTCCGGGAAGATCCCACATGCCGCGGAGCGGCTGGGCCCTGTGAGCCACGGCCGCTGAGCCTGAGTGTCTGGAGCCTGTGCTCCGCAACGGGAGAGGCCACAACAGTGAGAGGCCCGCGTACCGCAAAAAAAAAAAAAAAAAAGCTGGTCCCTGGATCCGCATCACTGTCACCTGGAAACTTGTTGAAAATGCAGATTCCCAGGTACATACTTGCTCTACTGAACAATAAAATCTTCAGGGGTGGGTGTTTGTGTGTGTGTGGGGGGGTGGGATCCAACAGTTTATTTTATTAAATTTTGGCCGTGCTGCACAGCTTATTGGATCTCAGTTCCCCGACCAGGGCTTGAACCCAGGCCACGGCAGTGAAGGCGCTGAGTCCTCACCACTGGGCCGCCAAGGAACTCCGCCCCCTCCAGCCCCCTTTTACTTTATCATGCTTTATTTTCAAAAGCTCTCCAGGTAATTCTGGTTTTTACGGATGAAATTATAATTGCCCTTTGAAATAGGTTTACAGAGAATCACTTTATATTCTTTGGACATTTTGTTGGTATTAAATTTTCCAAGTGTTTTGTTAAGTAGGTTCCTTACTTAAATAAAATTTGAAGAAATAATCTCAAAATATACGAATAAGGAAAAAAAACCCTAATGTACATAGGTGAATTGTGCTGTGATAGTGAAGCTGTGGTTTCATGTGGCCATCTTTTGGTTAACAGTATTCCGGGGTTTTTTTTGTTGTTTTGTTTTGTTTTGTTTTTAGTTAAATAACTGCTTTTCATTCCAGATCTCATTTTCTGGTCAGTGAAAAGAAACTGTTCATTCCAGGAAGAGATTAACTTTATGAAAGTTAAATAAAATGCCAAATATATATTTAATTCTAGTAGAAGGAAGTAACTTGACAGTTTCCCCTTTTAGAAATCTTATTTAAAACGTTGGTTCTCATACTTTGAAGGTGCAGGAGAATCTCTTGTATCAGAACACAGACTGCTGGGCCCCCAGTCTGTGGTTTAAAAGCCCAGGAATTTTCATTTCTTAACAATGTGGTGCTGCTCTGGGTTGAGGCACAATGAAATACTAGCTGTAGAAGGTTTTATAGGCAGAATATACAAATTCAGGTCTTGAATATTTTTTAGGTTTCCTGATCAGTAATTCTAGCCCAGTAAATTATTTTCTTTATAACTGAAACCTCTTTGTTCTTCCTTTACAAAAATATGCAATATTACTTCCTGTTTTCTAACAATTAGTTTTTTCTTTTCAGGTCATTTTGTGGGAGAAAAAAATTTTTTTTTAATTATTTTTGACTGCGTCGGGTCTTCATTGCTGCATGCGGGCTTTCTCTAGTTGCGGCGAGCGGGGGCTTCTCGTTGCAGAGCACAGGCTCTAGGCGCGTGGGCTTCAGTAGTTGTGGTGCACAGGCTCCGTAGTTGTGGCTCGCGGGCTCTAGAGCGCAGGCTCAGTAGTTGTGGCGCACAGGCTTAGTTGCTCCGCGGCATGTGGGATCTTCCCGGACCAGGGCTCGAATCCGTGTCCCCTGCATTGGCAGGTGGATTCTTAACCTCTGCGCCACCAGAGAGGTCTGGGAGAAATGATTTTAATGACACAGGAGAAACAAGCCAGAAGAATCTTATTTTTTAATTTATTACTTTATATAACAGTCTATGGATACATGAGCAGTTATGACACTTTGATCCAGGTTGTTTTCCTAAGTTATATACCGTCCCCCTGGCACACTTGCTGGCTAATGCTGGCAAATGTTATGGTCACAGAGCAACCAACCCTCCCCCCCCTCCCCAGTAAATGGAAACCACTGGAGGGTTTTCTTTTATCACCTCATGTAACCTGGAAGTTTGGGTCAGTCCTCAAGAAAGGAACTACTCAGAAGAAATTTGGCTTTGTTCAAGTGAGAAAAATCATGTTTTCGCTAACACATATAGCTTGGCCCAAGGGAATTAAATAACGGGGACATGAGTCAAGGCACAGACTGCGCGGTGGAGCAGCGGAGCTGATCGGGTTAGACTCCACCTGGGGCTGGCTCTCTGGGAGCTCAGATGACTGTTTCCCAATTTTGTTTTAATTTGGTCCTGTCTGAATTGTGAACCTCATTGTTACTACCATTTTCCACCCCAGTAGCAAGGCTCTTCTGTACCAGGAGGGAGCAGTCAGGCCTGGAAATCCCAGATTTTGTTGGAAAGGAACACCGTCTGCAGGTGAGCAGAGGATGGAGGGAAGTGGTGTGGATTCCATCCGTTTTCTTCTGATCCTACTCAGTAAAGCTTTAGGATGTCAAAATAACTTTAGGGGTTTGTACTGTATTATGCTATGAAACATATTAACTGCATGAAATATTAATTTTTTCTAAATTCTTACATATATGTTCTTGTACATATAAATTTATATACATTTTTTTTTTGGCTGCGCAGCATGTAGGATCTTAGTTCCCCAACCAGGGATCAAACCCACACTGCCCGCAGTGCAAGCGCAGAGTCTCAACCACTGGACCACCAGGGAAGTCCCCAGTTTTTCTAAATTCTTATTTCATTTTATAAACCACCTTGTGGTACTCTCCTTGTATCTGTGTCCTACTGTTACCTGGTCTTTGCTGATCATCCTCCTTGCACTTTTATGTTTTTCCCCCTTTTTCTGCAAAGACACTGGAGTTTCATGGTTAATGCTTTATAAAGGTCTTGCTGTCAACGTTCTGGATGCTAAAACCTTGCCAGCAGCAGTAAATTACTACTAATGAACTAGTAAATTCTCATAAGGTAACTGAAAGCTCTCAGTGTAACCCTGCAGAGTAGAATTCTAAAAGCAGCACCTGAGCTTCAAACTGCAACCTCCTAACACTCCACTGAATACATTCTACAAATTGAAGAATTTAAGATGGGAATGACTTGAGAAGATAGTGTATGAAGTTGAGTAACTTGTATTCCTGGACTAAATCCAAACTCCTCATCCAACTGTAGTCCAACATTTATTGGCGGGTATTAGGTACTAGGCACTGCTCTTTGGTACTGGGTATTGTAGGCAAAAGGATGTGTAAGCTGCTTTCTACTGCAGCATACTAATTAGTGGTGACCAGATCTGGGTGGTATGGTTAGTAAGTTAAATTAATTGGATAACCCGACTACGCATCATGTCCTTACCTCAGTATACACCGGAAAGTAGTGATAGCTGAGGAGTGATGATTTTTCAGTGAGTCTGGATCAAAAGAGCCATGCATCCCGCTTGAAGTTATGGCCCCGCCCATGGCCTAGAGGGTGATGACGCTCGCATTCTGTACTGTGTGCCCGGTATAACTACACAAGCCACAAGGAGATGGCTTTGCTTTCCACAGGTAGTACTAGCCTATCTGCAAACCTTTGATAAGGTGCTGCTGGAGAATTGCTTTTTCAGGGCAGTCATTGTTCACACTTATTTAAATATCAAAGTAGCAGCATTAACTGAAGTATCTGATGCGATTGGCTGCCTTATCAAGTGGAGAAGTCCAAGACCTCATCATCCTGGTCAGAATTTCCCCACCCCAGGGCTATAGAGAAGCAAGTTCAGATGAAAAGACCTGTAATAAACTGCACAGCTCTACAAGGTTTTATTCCTAGTGCTCCTGTAAAGGTGTTACCTAGGCATGCTTTTGAGGTGATGGGAATGTTTTTTAAAAACCCATTTCTCTTACATGTATTGGACAGGGTGCACCACCGCTGAAGTAGAGCTCGTGGCTGTGAGGTTAGATGCAGCAGGAGTACAGCATTCAGTATCGTTGAAAAGTCTAATCCCAGCCATTGTTTAGCTAAACTATACATTTCGTATTCACCTTGTTTTGAAGTCCTGAGACTTCAGAAAGAAACTAGCAAGACCAGCATTGTGGTATTTTATTGAGGAAAGTAGGAAAAGGCAGTTGTGCTCTGAAATACCTCTACAGTGTGTGTGGGTTAGCTCTTAGTATCCACAGACTCAACAAACCACAGATGGAAAATAACCGGGGAAGAAGAAAAATTTTCCAGCAAGTTCCAAAAAGCAAAACTTGAATTTGCTGCACACCAGGAACTCTTTACATAGAATTTACACTGTGTTTACAACTATTTACATAGCATTTACCTTGTATTAGGTATTGTAAGTTAATCCAAGACATGAGTTAAAGTATATGGGGTGATACTCAAGGGGTTAAATGCAAATATGACACAAGGACTTGAGCATCCTCAGATCTTGGTATCTGAGGGGGGTCCTGGAACCAATTCCCCATGGATGATGAGGGATGACGTATGTGACATTCTGAAATTTTTTCATTAAAATTGTAACTCATGCAATTATAAAACTAATCTGGAAATTAACAATTTTATACATTTCCATAACCCAGACAGCTTGATTCATTAGTCTGCCAAATATTTCTTGAAAGAATATAAGCATTAGACCTGTGGGCAGTCACTCTTCTCAGGAGGCAGAGTGTGGCAAAGCCTGGCTGGCCTTCCCAGTGTTCAAAATAAGTAACAAGATCTGGCTGTTCAAAATGACTTGATGGATTCCAAGAACAAAGATAAAGTCCACATGTAATATCCCCTTTTATGCTCATAATGTCTGGCTTCTGGGTTTTTTTTTTTTTTGCTATATCTCAGATTGATTTATTATCTTTTCAAACAATAAAGGGTAACCTGCAGATATATAAAGTTGTCACCTACTCGGGATCTGTGTCAGTGGCACGTTGGAAAGATCAGACCTCCTCCCTCAAACCCGCCTACCACCTTAGATTAGTCCTACTTCAAGGGATGCAAACTCACACATTAACTTAGTGCTAACATTCCCACTGGATTTTTTTTTTTTAAACACAAAAATTCACTAGGGCTAGTAAAAAATTTCAAGTTAAAAAAAAGTTTTAATTTTCTTAAATAATCCTCATATGAACCATTCCACACTGTGGAAAAACATACAGTCTGGACACAATATCTAGATTTCAGAACACTGGCACAAATACTTACATCTGTGTTTTATATGTTAGATGCACCATGCCCCATCTCTCAGACTGACAGGCCTTAAATGCAAGAGGCTTACAGAAGAAACTTTTAATTTGGAAGTGTGAGCTGTGCCAGAATTCCATACTGCTTTGAAGAGTGTTTAGAAATAGGTCTGAGAATAACTCTCTCCCAATTCTTTGGTCATTGCAGCTGTACTCTGTACGCACCTATTAGCAACTTAACCTGTTGAAAGAAAAAAAAGCATATATTTCAAGAGTTCCCCTTTGTTAGAAGAGGGGAAAAAAAGCACACACGGGCAAGACTTGTTTCCCTTCTTTGGCAATACTGTCAAATTGGTTATCAGTGTGGGTTGTTAGACTACCATTATTTTAATTAAAAAGTCCAATTGAGGGATTTCCCTGGTGGTGCAGTGGTTAAGAATCCACCTGCCAATGCAGGGGACATGGGTTAGAGCCCTGGGCCGGGAAGATCCCACATGCCGCAGAGCAACTAAGCCCGTGCGCCACAACTGCTGAGCCCACGTGCCACGACTACTGAGCCCACATGCCACAACTACTGAAGCCTGCGCGCCAACTCTCGCCATAACTATAGAAAGCCTGCGCGCAGCAACGAAGACCCAACGCAGCCAAAAATAAATAAATAAAATAAATTTTAAAAAGTCCAATTGGGTTTTTAGGTTACTACGTTAATTGTACTGTTACACAGACTGTTCCGGTCCAGCTAGTGATCATACATCTGGCAATTAAATATCAAAAGCACAGAACATCACCAGACTGCTGCACACCATGGATATCAAAGAGGGTTGGGTTGAAATCATTTCAGACCCAGGCAGGCACACCAGGAACATCCTGAAAACCTTCTCTAATAATGTGACCTGAAGGAACGACCTGAGCAGTGAGAGCAGATGCAAGGAGATTCTTACCTTAGCAGACGGCGCTTCCGTCAACCTTATAAAGAGTTTATTGAGGCCTGCGGCGGGGCTGAACGAGTAAACAAAATGACTGTCCTGGGGAAGAGACCAAAAAGATAGATCAGCATTTCTGCAGACAGACTTCTCCATCTAGACACAGCCAGACTCCAGAAACCTTTAAGACTAGTGATGTAGAAGAAAATACAAGTTTGTTTGAATTTCTTTATAAGACAACATGCTGTGATTTCTTTACTTTTCCCTTGCATTAAAGAGATAACATTTATCTGGAAAAATATATAGATAAAAAATCTTCAGCATTAGAATGTATCCAGCCATATACAGCATGCACGTTAAAAATCTTCATAACCAAAAAAATCTTCATAACCAGTTAAATTCATCCTAAGGAGAGAATTTTATATGTGGCAAAGGAAACATACACAACGATTCTTCAAGGGCATTTTTAATACTAAAGAATTTACATAGCCACTATTAGTTATTATATATTTATATTTTAAAATGTTCACAGTGGGGCTTCCCTGGTGGCACAGTGGTTAAATCCGCCTGCCAATGCAGGGGACATGGCTTCGAGCCCTGGTCCGGGAAGATCCCACATGCTGCGAAGCAGCTACGCCCTTGTGCCACGACTACTGAAGTCCACGTGCCTAGAGCCCGTGCTCTGCCAACAAGAGAAGCCACCGCACCGCAACGAAAAGGAGTTCCCGCTCGCCACAACTAGAGAAAAGCCCACGCACAGCAACGAAGACCCAACGCAGCCAAAAATAAAATTTGTAAGACAAAAAGTTCACAATGAATAAAAATCAAGATTATACTGTGATTACCTAAAATTAAACTAGGCATAAATACCACCAGTGTTATTCAGTGTTTATATTTCGGTTTTTTGAACCATGCACGGGCATGCTTTTCTTTTTGAATTCCCTAAATTTCCTTTAAGTGAACATTTGTAATTATAATGGCATTAAAAAGCATAATATTTAGATAGGATGTTTCTTGTACCTAAGAATTTATCTTCAAAATGTTAGTTCCAAGACTTGGTAAACATAATTTAAAGCACAGATACCAATTAAAACAATTTATGATTATGGATGATTGCCATTTCCAACAACTACAATTAACAGAAGAATTGATGTCATCTGTGCTTTTGGTTAGAAGGCTGTACTCCTCAGTAATGAACTACAGAAACTTACCAGGAAAACAGGGAGTTGAAATTTATCATTTAAAACGACAGCTTGTACACTACACGGTCCACAGAGGCGAGCAATGACCTCTTTACCCAGAAAGTTTGCGTGGAAAATAAACAGCAGGATGCCGGAGCCTGAAGTGGGGAGATACAAATAGAGATTTTAATTCCCCGCCCAACAGGGCCACTTTGCAGAGCCTGAGGGAGGAGGCCCATGTGGGTAAGGAAGCGGCCCGGTACCCCACCCTCGTTTGTAAGATTTGAGCGGTCTTCCTGGTGCAAGACCTGCTGGTGTTTATCTAGTGCTTTTCAGACCACAGAACCCTTTTCACTTTTAGTCTGAGTAGCTACTGACAGCTCATCAGCAGGCTTTTTAAATATGCTTTTTCTACACTGAAGTTATTTTTTTTAAGTGGTATTTAAAAGTTCCAGCTGAATGTATAAATGTCAATGGAAGCGAAACCTGCAGACTGTGGTTTCTTAGTGTGGGTTTGAGGAATTTTCCACTGTCTTCCACATACTATTTTGCCTTTTCTGAATTTTCTTATAATGTGAAAAAAAAATTATTTTTTGGGAAAAAAAAAGTTTGGGTAAGATTTGAAGCTTTTGAATATGCAAAATATTCTGCAAGATTCATTCTCTGAACAAAAACTTTACTTTTGATAATATAAAACAGATACATGAGTTGTTTTTTAATATGATGTTAAAAACTTGTGAATGAGGAGACTTCATAAAAAGAACCCTAGGAACGACTGGCTTTAAAATTTGTCCTGGTTCCAGGAAAAAAGGGCACACCAGGTCCCTGGCTCTTTTATCTCCTTTCAGGCTATGTGAGGTTTGACATAGGGTTTTGCTCTCCGTTTTATGCCACAGCTTCCCTGCATAGAGCACCGAGGATGAGAGGAGAAGAAAAGGTCCGCGGAGGACAGAGGCTCTTCTTGTTTTCCCCTCAGCTCCACTGTGAAAACGCGGCTGTGTCCCCGTGACTGTAGAGCAGAAAAGGCAGTAGAACCTCGTCAGACAGCCGGTGGGGATGGCCGTCTGCAGTGAAATCCTATTAGAGAACACTTTGACGAAGGTCATGTTTCTATTCCTGCCGACCACAGTGAGTGGTATCCAGCAGAGGAATGGTTGTCCTTCGTCAGCTCTAGTCGGACTGAGAAATACTTGATCCATACGGAGAATATGACACAACGGACCCTAATCAAGTTCCTGGTGCTTGTTTCATGGTATCAGTATAAATCTGTTTCTCTTCATTTCTTAAGAGCCACACACTCCTCAACAGACCAAGGTCAGTGTTTGTCAAACTTGAGTGCTTTCAGGTCACCCAAGATCTCACCAAGGTGTTGGCTGAGAGTCCTGGTCTGGGTGGGGCTCTGAGAGGAGACCACACTCTGAGTCTCGAGGGTCAGGAAAATCTACCAGGATCTCACATCTGAGGACGACAGGGCGTCTTTGGAAAAAACCGCTAGTGGATGCAGACATTGTGCAAGTGCAAAAACAGCCATACGTAACCCAGGACTGTCCAGCTGAACCGAAGCACTGGTGTGGAGGTGGGTGACCGGCCAGTTCACGGACTCAGCTCACCAGCTCATGCCTGGCGGTGCAGACGGTCCACTTGGACTGTCAAGACCACAGTTCGCTATTACTGAGATGTTGTGAATGGCTGGCTTTGACTGGTAGAGCTGTATTTTCTTCAACTAAATTTCCATTAACAAATAGGTATTTTTTAAACAGGTGGGTTGTTTTTTTTTTAAATAAAACAAGCCAGAACCCCGTTTCCTACCTTTCCTCCACTCTGTATACGGAGCACCCGTGTCCTGGAGGAGGGGCCATGGCCATGGTCTCTACCTACCAAGTAGCTGTTAAGTAGAAACTAGGAAGCAGAACTGAAGTTCTCATCTCTTGCTACTAAACTGTACTATGGGACAAGACGTTTTCATTTTTCTTTGTCTTTTTAAAAGGGCAAGACTATTAGTGATAATAAAATTCAGGGAAAATATTGATTTTGGGCATACCATCTTGAAAGCTAAATTTTAATAAAAGTCAATTTTAATAAAAACTAGTATAATTATTAAGACTCAACTTGCATACTTCTAAAACAAGTGCTAACACGCTGCTATGTGGACCCCTTGGGGTCACCTGGGATGGTGAGTATCAGCTGCGTTTCTTTTTTTCTGCCAGAGCAGCAGTGCTGTTAACTATTGTACATAATTATTACACATAATGGAATTTGTTAAGGTTTTATTAAAAGAATAAAGAGTTCTGCCTGAAAATCAGTTTATAATGTCACATTTCAAAATGAGAGAAAACACAGGCTTACCTTCTGGTATGTTCTGTGGGATTCTGTAATTGAAATCCATTGAAAAGTCTGGGCCCTCACAGAGACGATGACATGCTATTGGGAAAACTGGTTCTAGGAGAGCAAGACGTGCTTCAAAGTAATCCTTTATTGTTTCTTCTGCTACTCTTGAAAGTCTAATAAACAAGTACAGTAAACGCTGTTAACGTTTGTGTAGGGAAGCACCATGAGCTACAACGTTATCAGACTGTTGAATACAATGAGGCTTTCCCAGATCAACCTTAAGGGGGAAAAAAAAGGCAGCCTCTCGCCTGCTTCCCTGCTTTTTTCTTAGCTCTCACACCTGACACGTCACATGCCTGTCTGTCTGGAGGCTCCGAGTGGGCAAGTCTGTGCCCCGCTGCCACCCCTGCCCAGTGCCCAGCACACGGACAGAGCTCCATACACACTCCTCGGATGAGTCAATGAATCAGAAATAAGAATTCTGTCGGAAAATAAACCCAAGAACGGCCACACACAGAAAAGTCTTGTTACAGCACTTAGTTTAGCAAGCAGTCAAATAAGGTGATTACTGCTAATTCCAAAAGTCTTTTCAAACGACCCTGCTGGGAATGTAACCAACCCACCCCATCCCAGGATGCTCTGCTTCAAGGAGTGTACAGTCCCAAGAACCCTTTCGTCACAGATGTAAAACCAAGCCCAGCGTCCCAGGAAGCCCTCAGCCTTGGGCAAACCAGGCAGGTTGGTCACCCTGCTTGCTGGCCGCCGGTCACTGCCACCCGGGTGGGCGAAGGCTGTCTGCGTGGGCAGAGTCCCCAGGCACACACTCCCTTTTCGGCCTTTGCCTTTTTTGTCTCCTGTCTGAAATTTACCTTATTTCCTGCTTAGAAAATGGATCCTACATCTGGAAGGGGAATAACCATCTTTCAGGTGTGAAGATCCAAGTCATGTCCTATGTTTGGTGGGTGAGGAGAGGGGAAGAGTGGCTGCTGACCCAGGACTCTGTTACATGAACAATAAACACCTTACCTGCATTAGCTACTGTTCCTGAAGCTCGTGTTGCCAAAATAAGCAATAAAAAGCTAATATGAACTTCCAATAAAATGACGTAGAATTCATTTGAAAAAGCATGAACTTGAATGCGTGAACTGTGGTAGTTTCCAGACAATGTAATTATTATTCAGTACTAAAAGGAAACGAGCTCATCGGGCCATGTAAAGATACGGAGAAAACGTAAATGCCTATCAAAGAAGCCAATCTGAAAAGGGCGAATACTGTATGATTCCAACCAAATGACATTCTGGAGAAGACAGGAAAAGTATCAGTGGTTTCCAGGGTTTGGGAGAGAGGAACAGGTGGAACGCAGAGGATGTTTAGGGCAGTGAGACGACGATGTGGAGACACGTCGTTACGTTTGTCCAAACCCACAGGATGGACAACACCCAAGGGGAACCTCAGGGGAACCAGGGGCTCTAGGTCATGAGCACATGTCACTGTAGGTCCATCAACTGTAATGGACACACCACCTGGAGAGGGTATGCACATGTGGCGGCAGGAGGTATATGGGAAATCTCTACTTTCTACTCAACTTCGCTCGGAACCTAAAACCTGCTCTAAAAAATCTGTTAAAAAGTTTAAATGGTTTTAAGAAAATGTTTGGGAGCCAAGTTAAGAGCATAATTAAGATTTTAAGATGATAGTATAAGTTTGACAGTTTCTAAGTCCTCAATAACTTGCAGAAAAATAATTCATACACCACTTTTAAAATTCTTCATCTTCTGAGACCACAGACCCGTCAGGTCTTGTACTTGACAATCTTTTTCCGAGCAGTTACACACAGGCCACTCCAATTATGTGTCCGAATCGGCACCGGGCACATTCACTCCACACTTACGTCTCTAAGTGATTCTTCAGCAGGTCATACACCAGCACATTGTTACACTGCTTTGCGAAATGCAGCGCACTGTTCTGGTGCTTTGACAGAATGTTGCAATCAGCCCCGCACTCAATGACAAGGCGGACGATGTCTGAATTTCCCCTTTTACAGGCCTGCGTCAGGAATAAAGGAGCAATAATTACTCGACTGTGCTTGCTCAGTGACCCTCTCCACGCTGAGCGGGGAGTAAGTTCTCCGTGACGGGAGGGAAAAGAACCACTGGGGTCGGAAACTGTCTGGGAAGCGTAAGTGCTGTGGTCCTTTTCCTCAGTGTGCAGTACAAACAGGGCCGCCTCATTCAGACCGCAGTCAAACGCCTCTCCCTCCTGGCCCTCCTCCATCTCCGGCCTTTTCCGACCCTTAACGGGTGACCTCTTTCAAAGCCAAATCTGAGTTTCCCACCTACCTCTCTCCTGAGCTTAAGATCCACGTGTAAAACACCTAAGCATTTCCAGGTCCAGTGCCTGTAAAAATCTTCCATTTGTGCTGCCCGTGTTCTCTAACTTAGGAAATAAGGGACCAACCATCACCTTCAATTACTAAGTCCTGTGAATTTGACCTCTTTAAGACTGGTCAGTCTGTCCACTTCTGTCTCCACTGTCACTACTTCTGTGCAGACTATTATCATCCCACTTAATTTTAAGAACCTCCCTACAAGTCTGCAAACCAATCCATTCCCTGCACTGTAACGGGGGACATTAAAAACAATGCAGCGAAACCCAACCTTTATTCTGCTTCTGTCTTTCTCTAGGCTGGCCCTTCAGATGGCTCCCCGCTGCCGTGAGGGTTAGCCCCTAGCTGCCTGGCACAGATGCAGAGAACCTGCCCCACACCCCCGTCTCACACCACCCCCCCATGCTTCAGACTGTGCGAGCATCTGCTGTTGAGAATGTGCCTGGTGATTTCTCAGTAAGATGAAGTTTTAAATTCATGCTTCCACGTGCGACCTGTGCTCTAAACATACTTCAGTAGAAACACACAAGGAGAGTTGAAATTCAAAAGGAGGGCTCCTGGACAAAATAAACATTTCCATGAATCAAAAATGAAACAGAAACACCAGCAGTGAGCAAGGTTTAACCCCCAAGTGTGGAAGGAGGCCGAGGAGCAGGTGACGCAGGCCTTAAGAACTGCACGGTCAAGCACAGACTCAGGGCCAGGGCCCCCGCCAACCGGGGGCTCTGACCAGTCTGCCTTCCTGACTCAGGAAAGAAGGTAGGGAAGAGGTACCACAGACACACACCTTCTTGGTGAGCAGCTCACACAGCTGCACGTAGGGAGCAGGCAAGTGAGCCTCAGCCTCCACGCACGGTACAGGGTCATAGCCTGCTGTGTGGACAGCATATCAGGCCAGAAACCTGGAGCTGCCACAGGAAAGTGCTGGACTGGGCGGGGTCCCCTAGAAGCAAATGCAAGACTGCTAAACAGGGAGGGGGGGCTTCAACAACCTTCCACTCAAAACTGTCTGCAGGGGTCTTCCCTGGTGGCGCAGTGGTTAAGAATCCGCCTGCCAATACAGGGGACACGGGTTCGAGCCCTGGTCCGGGAAGATCCCACATGCCGCTGAGCAACTAAGCCTGTGCCCCACAACTGCTGAGCCTGCGCTCTAGAGCACGTGAGCCACAACTGAGCCCGTGTGCTGCAACTACTGAACCCGCGTGCCTAGAGCCCGTGCTCCGCAACTAGAGAAGCCACGGCAGTGAGAAGCCTGCACACTGCAACGAAGAGCAGCCCCCGCACGCAGCAACAAAGACCCAACGCAGCCAAAAATAAATTAAAACAAAAAAACCCCACTGTCTGCAAACCACAATTCTGAGCACAGAAGATGAAGTCACCAGTGAAACAGTAACGCATGCACATCCCTCTTCTCCACACCCAGGTCTGCGCACGGCACAGCCTGCTTCCCTTCCACTCACACGTTTCATCCCTGCTGACCTGCATCTTGAGGATGTGGCTTAGCCACCTGCCAGGTCCATCCCAAGGCTGAGCTCAAATCCACACGACTGAGCCTGGTGTCCACTGTACACAAGCTCAAAGCTCCCTGTGCTATTCCCACCACGTTGCTCATCACACCGAGTAACTGCCTCTTTGCGGGTCTGTTTCTCCCACTCAGCTGTGACCTGTAGGTCCACAGACAGTCTCGTCCCCATCATACACCAGCCCCAGCACAGCAGCAGCTGGAGACCCCAGCAGGACCATGTTGCATCTGAGGGGAGGACTGCTCCACGGGAGGCATTTACCTTCATTAGAGCCGTCTCACCATTGCTCTGCTGGACGTTTACAAAAGCTCCTGCTTCCAAAAGAATAGCCACTGTCGTTAAAAAGTTCTGTTAAAGAAAAACAAGTAAATTTAATTCCCCAAATTCTTTACAACTAAGATATTTCTAGACGTTTTAAGATTTTTATCCACCAGGAAAAGTACTCAGATTCTATCCCAAGCAGGATGGTGAACACGATATGAACAGCTCCCCCGTGCAGGGTCCTGGGAAAGCTGGAGGCCGCGGGGAGCAGGCCCAGCACAGGTACCCGAACAGCCGCGCACCGTCTGCTGGAAACTCCAACCTCAAGTTTAACCACTGGTTTCAGCATAAGAAACTCTGCATATCGATCTTTTAATAATATATGGGAACATTTTAATTAAATTATTAAACAAAAGGGACACTTAATTTAGATTGGAAAAGATTTTTAAAAGACCTAAGAATTAATATTAATACCTTAATCAGAAGTTCTTTTTCAATATAAATCACTTCCAACTAGATAAATGATTTTGCAAATTCAATTACAAAGTATGACTGTCAATAAAAACATATCCATTTATGACAAGTTACAGATGAACTGAACTATGAAAATTTAAAGTTACGTGACTGTAGGACCGGTACATTTCCCTGCAGAGACAGACTCTGTCTTGGTCCCAAGACCATCGAACCAAAGCCTTCTGAGTGGCCGACCTTCTCGGCAGCATGGATGAGCGCAGTGGTCCCGTTCTTCTGCCGACCGTTCACTTTTGCCCCCTTCTTGAGGAGCAGCCTCAGCAGGTCGTCCTGCCCCCCAGCTGCCGCAAGCATCACCAGTGTCATCCCGCTGGAATCCTGTATTGGTTTTGTTTATG